CATTGGCAACCAGAGGTGGTCATATGTGGTCCAGGTCCTTTCCCTGGAGTGCTGCCCACAGATAGCAGTGTGGGGCTTTTTCTTGGGTTGGTCAGTTTTCCAAGAGAGGAACACTCAGCCTTTGCTTGGAGGATAGAAGCCAGGCAGGCTTGGGGCAGGGAGTGGGATAAGGGCTTGGGGTCACTCAGGATGTGGATTGTATTGTTATTAACCATGACTTGTCTTCCTGTGGTGTCAGAGGTTGGTTTGCAGCCTCGCTCAAGTGCTAGATTATGCTCTTCTTTCTCTGTCTTTGGGCTCCCCTTCCCTGTTGAGGTATATTGCAGCTGTTTACCCATTCCCGAGAACCCCCCGACTAGAGCTGGGCTTTGTGTTGGTGGCTCAGAGCTCCTGCCACACAGTGGTCCTGGAATATAGCAGATGCATTTCTGAGCCGGTGGGTGGATGGGCTCAACTGCTCTCATGTAAGGCAGTTACGTATTGGGAGGGCCTTTTAGCAGAGCTGCCCAATAATGGAATAGCTGCCTGTGGAGTAGTGAGCTCCTGGTCTCTGGAAGAATTCTAGGGGAGGCAGGGTGGCCAAGTGTTGGAGACCAGACTTCTTTTAGAGGCTGGAATCAGTGATGGCTATGATTGCATGAGAGGCCTGTGACCTTTGGATTCTTCAGGGAACAACACATGACACTTCAATATCATTCTCATAATGCTAATGACATTCATTCTCATAATAACAACTGTGGTGTGGCAGTGACGAGGGCTGACCTCACTGAGTACCTCCTCTGTGCCGGGCCTGTTGCATTCACTGTCTCGGTGTCCACTCATTCAAACCCTGGAAGGTGCTATGATCATCCCCATGTTACTACCGAGGAAGCTGAGACAGGAGGTTGAGTAACTTACCAAAGGCAGTGGGAGGTGGCAGAGCTGGGGTCAGCTCCAGGAGGCTGATTCAGGGTTTATACCAGCCTGCTGCTGTCCCACAGGTCTGAGCCCCACGTCTCCCCAACCTAACGACAGCCAGGGCTCTGCGAGGAGGGGTCCCTGGGTCAAATCAGCATTTACAGAGGGAGACTGAGGCTTCAGTCTTACACTAATGGCTCCTGACTGAGCAAGACAGCACACAAACAGGGACCAGCGGCCACGAGGGCATCTTTCCAGAGAGAAGCCCTTTGGCTTCTTTCTAAAATGGACTTTCAACACTCTTGTTGAGCTTTAAAAATGTCAAGTGACGCTTTTACTGACAGAGTGGATTTCCTCCCGCCGTCAGCTGAACGTGCTCTCTCCGCTCTGTTCCTCCTGGGAGATGGCCAAGGGGATCTGATGCTGATGAAATGGATGCCAACGGGTTCATGGTGCCCACACTCGCCCCAGTCCCGAGGGCGGGACCATCACAAAGGATGTCGGGGGCAGGGACAGCCTCCAAGTGTCTCTGGCGTCTTGGCTACATTTAATTTTTTATAATATAATAGCATGTTAATTTTCAGATCCCCTTGGTGTCCACATACATACAAATACATGTAGGGAGCAGCAAAGTGTGCACTGGGCCACCTTAATCCCGTGGTCATGTGGGTTCCTCATTTTCCCTCATCTTCATTCTTTGTCCACATGGGAGCTGCCAGGCGCACACTCCTAACACCTGCACTCCCTTCTTCATGCAGTCGGATTGTTCCTGGACGTTCACCCAGAGGGGTGGGGCTGCCCCTCCGCCCTCACGCCACAAGTCTCTCCACGGTGCTCCCTGCCACCCTGTTGGGGGGCGTCTCTGCCTCGGTCCCCGCACAGCCAGGGTGAAATGATGGCTGATTCCTTGTGTCACGGAGGCAGTCAGCCGTCCCCCCATGGAAACAAAGCAATCTCAGCACAAGCTGGGAGCGGCCAGTCCCCCGAGAAGAAGGGCACTCCTCCGGTCCATCGATCGGTTGCCCTGACTGCTTCCCGGTGGCAAAAACCATGAGCACTCCCAGCCGGGGGGCAATTTTTATCTTCCTGTAAATATACTTTTCCCACAGGGGCAAAGGAGCTCACTGCCCGGCATAGCCTTTTTTAGTTAGTTGGGAAAAAGAAGGAATGAATATTTAGGATGTTGTCACTCAACAGTTGTTTTAGTCAACAGCCATATAAATAAATCCAGTGAAGGATTAATTCATTTTTGAAATGATAAATTGATGTTTCCTTCAAAAATTTACTGATCCACTTATTCTAAATGCAAGGTATTGTTTGATCATGGAGATGAAACAGCAAATAAGTTCTGCATGGGCTCCTTCTTCCTGGGGCAACATGCCAGCCTGTGTTTGTGTGCTCCAAGTGGGGATGTTGAGTGCATCCTCCCAGAGCCCAGAGCGGATCAGGAGGCCTCCAGCGTACCCTTGGACCTATGGTTTGGGAGTTGACTGGTTGTCAGTCAGTCGGTGGGCCAGGTTGCTGGGAAGCCAGTGCTCACATCTGTCTGAATAATCTCCTTCGTTATTGTGGTCTTAGCCTGATTTGGCTGCCTTTAACTCAGGATTGGCAAATATGTGGCATACCTCCCCCTTCAACCAAGCGTCTATGGATCACCAGCTAATCACAACACTCTTTCCTGCTAAGCTCAGTGTGACTTCAGAATCCTTCTTAACCCAGTGGACCACGCAGCAAGGACCAAACATCTGGGCGGCTGGTTTAAGGAGAGACATGAAAACACTCGGCTGGCCCTGTCCAGGTTTCCTTCTCATTCTCCAACCCTCATGACTCACCTTTGCCCCTGGAAACACCAGGAGCCTCAAGGCTCTTGGTCGTTTTTACTCCTCATCCTGCAGGTGCTTCTCTGTAGAGGGCTGGCCTTGAGGACAGCCATGTTCAAAGCAGCCACCAGCTTGGAGCATCACTTGAGCACCATTTCCTGAAACACCAGCTCTCCTGAAGATAGTCCCACATACTCAGGCTTCGCTGGGGTAGAAAATATTTATGCGTTTTGATCTTAAATAACCAAAGATTTGCCATTTCGGGGCTCTTTCCAAAGAAAACAGGTTCTCCTGGGCAGGTGTATTTCCTGGGCTCTGTTTGGGTGGCTGTGGGGGATACTGGCAGACGCCTTTAGCGATACTGATCCACTCCTAAACAGAAGCACCAAGTTTAAGTAAAGAATCGCCTTCCAACAGGGTCCTGGGGGGGTGTGGATCTGGGGCAGGAATCATAACTAGATAGACGGAAGGGAATTCCCCAGACTATTCACAGCCAAAGAGTCTCTGACTGTCCTCTGCCACCCACCTGCCCCTTCCCTGGCAGGGCGGCCCTTCTCTGTGGATAATCTGACTTACAAGGTGTAGCTTGCTCACCTTCAGGCTCTACCACTCATCCAGCTGTGGTTCTATGAGCCATCCTACCCACTACCACCTAGGAGTGAAGACCTCGGCCCCTTGCCTCTTCAGAGTCCAGAGAAAGGAGGCGACTCTGGGAGTTTTTCCTGCCTCCCCATTAAATCCATTTTTTGTTTGAAGACCCGTCTTTTCCATCAGTGCCTGACACAAATTATGCCTTCTTCAGAGATGGCCAACTTGTTCCGGAAGGCTTTCATGGAAATCTTGTCTTAACACAACCCAGTAGTCCTGGCATTCATATAAGAAGAAACATGGAGAGTCATGGGGCAGGTGGGGGTTCATGGCATCACAGGAAGCAACCACAACAGTGGAGCTGAGAGATGATGAAGGCCTGGGTCGCAGCAAAGGCCGTGGGAATGGAGCAGACGTGGATTGGGAGATAGGTCAGATATGCGACACAGCCAGAGTAGACCAGATTCCATCACTGAGAGGGATGGAGGAGTCATTGGTGGCCACCATGGTACCTGGGGGATGGAGATATGTTTACCGGTAATTTGGGGGAGAAAAGTGACTTGGGTTCAGTATCTTTTGACTCAGGGATGCTTGGACAACACCCAACAGAGGGCATCCCAGGCGCCCCGTGACTTTCAGTTTTCTTTAGTTCTGCTTGCAGAGTCAGAGAGAAGCAACATCCTGTCAGGGACTGTTGCGTCCTCTTTGGTCCCTCTGCTGGGTTTTCTCCAGCCCCTTGGCCTCAGGCAAGAGAGGAGCCAGCAGCACAGTCTGCTGGGGGCTGCAGGGCAGGCTCTTAACACAGCAGGACCCTTCAGATGCTCTGCAACTGACACTCCCAGGTCTACCGCCTGCCAGCATCTGTTCACGGAGACACAGCATCACACACTCTCCGGACTGGAAGGGACAGTAGAGGTCACCCATTCCAGCCTCGGGGTGGCATTTGCAGACTGTTCTAATAACTCAAGAGTTCCTCCTTCTATTATGCAGGAGACTGTTTCTTCTGACATCCTCTTACTACGCTGTTATTGACATGGTCCACCACAGACCTCCTGCCTAAGGAGAGGCGTGCTGGGGCTCAGGTTTATGCCTCTAGCAGTGAGGGACACGATAAGGCCATATTTGGGAACACAAGTTCTTTTTGTCTTTCACACCACAGCTACGGAATGGTCTCCACGGTGACAGCAGCTTCTTGGAGGTGTCTAGATTTTCATTTTCTATATTCCCCTAAATGTCTAATTTATGAATAATCTGTTTAGATAACCTGCTGGCAAGTTTCTGCATGTATACGAATATCAAGAAATAGCTATATATATATATTTAAAACAATAAAAAAAGTACAGTGATAGGCACTTGTGGCACATTTGTTTTTCTCCCACTAAAAACAGAAATTAGGAATTAGGATTGACTTTAAAATTTTTAAGTTAAACAAGATTCAATGAAAGAAACACTGCCTTCATGTTCTTCAAAGGCGTGTGAGCAGAGAGGGGCTGGAGCTAACCCAATTATGTTTTCTTTAATGTGAAAAAGCTATTTGCCTGACATCCCATTTGCATCTCACCATCACATTCAAAGGGCTGGGACATTGATTTTTTTTTTTTCTGTGGATTCTTTTGAACATGAAAGTGTTTTTCCCTGTTTTCTCCCCCCTTGTGAGAGCAGTGGTAAGAATGGATCGATAATTACATTGTTGGATAAAAATGAATATAAATTTTATTGAAAAACAACACCAGCAACAATGTGGGGAAAGCATAGTCAACAGCCACCGGCCCACGCAACTCAGTGCACACGTTATGAAAAGTAATCACCTCTCAAGAGTTCCAACTACTTACTCCAAATGAAAAGAAATTACAGACCTCAGATAAACCGATGTGGGACTCGGATGCACACCAGCTTAGAATGCTTTGCCAATGGCGGAGGGCGTGGCCCCACCGTTCACCTGTGTCCGCTGTGGACCATCTAGTGCATTTCAAGGGCTAACTGGCTTGGGCAGAACGTCCTCCTTCCAATGAGCTGGCCTCTCAAGCCCCAGACCACTGGGAAAACGCTTCTACTTTTCAAGTCCTTTGAGAAGAGGATTTCACAAACTTTCTTGGCAACTTGTCCCTCCTGCTTAACAACAGGAAAGAGTTCTTTAAGTCTAGCCTAAATCCTTCATGCTTCAGTTAATCTATTCACTTCCTTTTAAACTCAGCAGGCTGTGTGGGACGGGTTTGTCCTGGTGGGACATTGTAACATATGGGGAACTCACAATGATCGTAATCGGATTGAAAGTGGAGTCCTGCGGTGCCGGTGGCGCCTCCGAAACCAGTTGAAAAGAAGTCGCTTGCAGCCGTGGTGGTGGCCCATCTGGCCTAGCGCTTCCCCCATCCCGGACTCTCTGCATCCCCTTCTGCCTGTGGCCTGAGGGTTGCCACCCTAGGACCTGCCAGCAAAAGCTGCCTGAGTTCGCTCAGTTTCAGTCCTTCACTGGCACAGCAATGAGCGTGGTCAAAGCCGTCCCACCTAGTTCCGTATCCAGTGTTTCCGTTTCAAGATGGGATTTCCGGGCAAAGCACTCCCAAATCCTCTTACATTCCACGTCTTCTCACCATGCCAGGCTCGCCTCACAGTCTGTGCGTGGCAGCGATGTGCTCCGCGTACACACGAGGAAGCGCTGAGAGGCCACAAGAAAGCACCCAGTGAATTTAACATAAACGTCCCAAGACCATTTTGCAATTTTGGCGTAAAAACCTTGGTGACCGATTCAGCCTCGCGGAGGGGTGCAGCGCCGGCAGCTCCGCACGTTGGGCACCAGGGGGCGCCCGCCCCCTTCCACCGGCCGCCGGGACTCATCGACCGGGAAACAAAGATGGGCTTCAAAATGCAAGAAAAGATTTCAAAATGCAACCTCGAATTCTACCCTGAGCAGCACGCGTGTAAAAATTCATGAAGATTGGATTTCATTTCATGTATTTTTACTTAGGGGAAAGAAATGCAGGTGATTTTCTGACTGTGCCTGCAGCTGTCTTTACAAAGGGCTGCCTGGTTGAACACTGGGGAGGAGCGCGGATGCGCTGCGGGCGCTTTGAGCGCTGGGCCTCGCTCGGGTTCTCGGGACAGCTCCTGCTTTGCTGGGTGGCATCCTCTGCACGCTCCACAATGTAGTGACTAATTATACTGTTTTTGAAAAGATGTATGGAAGGCACTTATTTTGATGAAACACAGCACACTTCAGTTTATAAAATGGAAGGTGTGAGAAAAGGCTGTTTTCAGGGTGTAAAATCTCCCCTTGTTTCCGAGTCGTGGTTCACAGTGGTCCCGCCTCTGGGGCTTCTGTGCATTTTCCAGGTGCGAGGGACGTGGTGCCCAATGCCTGGATGGCAGAGCTTGCCGGATGGCGCTGGACACAGGCCAGGGCAGGTCAGCCCCCATGGGGGTGCTCCCCTTGGGTTCCAGGGCCCCCAGCCTGGTGGAGGACGGGCACCGCTGTAACGTCGATCTGGGAAAGGTCCATGCTGGTGGCAGTGGGGACCGTTGGGGGAGGGACCCCAGGGAGATGCTGGAGCGAAGTGTTGGGAGCCTGGAACTTCAGACAGGCCTGGGTAACCAACGGAGGCTGCTGCCCCCCACCCTGAGCTCTGGGAGGCAGGGGCAGGGCCCCCTTGGTTTCCTCCGTAGGCCCAGCATCTAGCACAGTGCCTGGTACTTATTAAGTGCCCATGAATGTGTGTTGGATACACAAAGGTGAGGAGGAAGGCAGAGGCGGCTGTGAGGATCCCTGGCTGACCCTGGCTATAGCTGAGCCTGGGGGCATTTGCAGCACCAGTGGGGGGCAGAGTGCTGGGCAGTGTCAGCTGTCAGGGGCTGCAGAGCTGGAGAAGCCAGGAGGTCAGCAGGGACAATCTCAGGGGTCTTTGTGTGCCGGGAGCGTGTTGCAGCGGCCACGCACGGCCTCTCCATCCTTCCCTCTCTGCTGCCCTGCCAGAGCCAGCCTTTCTGCTGTTGCCATGGCAACACCAGCCTGAGGTGCTGCTGAGGGTCAGCTGGGCAGCCCAGGCTTCTGGGGCCTGAGCCCCACAGAAGGCGGGACCCCAGGGGTCTCTCTTGTCAGAGAAAAGGAGGGAGGAAGATAGGATAAGGACAAGCACAAAAACTGCTCCCAGGGCAGGTGGAGGCCCCCAGCTGTGGTGTTGGTGGCAGGGACTCCTGGGGGCCGGCAGAGCCCTGTTATCATGGGAGGCTCCTGGGCACTGCAGTTTGCACTATACCCTTGCCTGACCTCCCTGCCCAGGTCTTTATTTTGAGTTGTTGACGAGGCTCCCCAAGGCCTAGCAGGCATCTTGGGGCACCCTGTGAAGGATGTAGGTGGGGCCCAGAGGCCCAGGCTCTGAGGGCGCCCGGAAGGCCACCCCAGACCTTAGACTGAACTAACTGCCCAGCAGGCTCCTCTGGGAGCCGAGCTGGAGGTCTTATCCCTTAGACTCAGGTGGCAGGATGGCCATAGGGTCCCTTCACCCCTTGGTCCCCCACCCAGGACACTCACGAGTGGGCACTGGCTGCTCTTTGCTTTAGAGTCTCCCCATAACTTTCTGTTGCCACATTCCCAGTACACACAGGGACTCTGAGGGCCCCCAGCCCCCAGCCAGGGGTAGTTGGCTAGCTTCCTCTCCACACCTTCTTTTTCCTAGGGCTCTTAAAGAGCAAGAAGCGCCCAATGAAGAGGCAGCAGGAATGTGGACGATGGTCAGGTCTGGGGAAAATGACAGTCCAACCGTCCGTGGGGTCCAGGAGGTGGTGAGAAACGCTGTGATGCTACATGAAAGGGGCGCTACGATTCCAGATGACTCAGCCTGGCAAATCACGTCCCTCTCGGCACGGAGGAGAATTCTCGAATCATGGCGTGACAAGCCTGCCGCCTGGGCACCGTCCCTGCTTTCCCACATCGACGCTACGACAACAGCATGAGCACGAGAAGGGGCACCTGGGCAGTGTGGACAGTTTACAATACCTTGGATTTACATAGCACCTGTTTCTTCTAAAGGTCCTTTGCCTCTGTCGCCTTGGCCGTTGCCACAACTGAGTGAAGCCATCAGAACACAAACATCACAGCTCCTGCGGCAGAGCAGGGAAACTGAGGCAGAGGCCTAGAAGTGATTTCATGCAGACTCAGTGGTGTCCAGGGATCTCTGCACGTCCCTTGGGCCCTCTCCGGGCAGGCCTGGCCCTCTGGGAGGTGTGACGGGACACAGGCCCTCACTGGGCGTTCACTTTATACTTCAGGATATAGGAGTAGAAGTTGTGGTTGGCGTTCTCCAGCACCATGACATAGACTTCCTGGCAGCCGGCCGTGCTGCAGCTGCCCTCCCAGTAGCCCTCGCTGTTCAGGGTCAGAGGCCACGTGTCCTGCCCCTTCACTAGGGCTTTGGCGATGCCGTGCAGCTTCAGTTTGAATGGGACGTTCCGGTTAGCAGGAAGCACGCCCGTCAGAGGCTCCAGCAGCTCATTGTCCTGCCCCCAGTTGCCAAAGCTCTCGGGGAACATGGGCCAGTTCACCTTGGTGTTGGTGCAGCACAGGAGATAATTGAAGACGAAGATGTAGTTGCCCGCTTCCTGCCTCTTCTTGACGAAGATCTTGAGGGCAAACTTGCCGGCGTGAGGCAGCTGGACCTTCAGCTCTGTCCGCTTCTCCCGCTGCAGCTGGAAAATGTAGCGCCGCTGTGTTTCCTCTGTGATGAGGCCGTCGTCCCCGTGCAGGGAAGCCAGGACACTGATGCCCTCCTCAACGCCGAAGCTCACGGAGCAGCGCCCATCGCTCGTGTGGATGATGGGGTGAGGGTGGGAGGGCTTCGTGATGCCCATCTGCTCCGAGAACCAGCTGGGGCCCACGGGCTGGTGCAGCTCAGCTGGCAGCTGGACCGTGTCGTCCACGTAGTTACACTTGAGCGTGTACTCCAGCACAGAGCTGTAGATGTCAGAGTTGCCTTTGGCAAAGATTTGCAGCTTGTGGGTGCCCACGGTGGGAGGGTACACTTCCAGCTTCATCCCATTCTTCCTGAGGCTCAGCAGCCCGTGCTCCTGCTTGCCATTGAGCATAAACATGAAGAGCGTCGGGGCACAGCTCTCAATGGTCACCATGGCCTTCCCGTTCACTGCGGAGAGAAAGCCGAGGTCAGGGGACATGGGTCCAGCCGGTGCTGACGTGCTGGCAAGTGCTTAACAACTGGCTCTCTGGGGGAAAAAAGTCCTGACTGGTAGTGTTTGCTCATTTCTGTGGTGTAAATACTTTCACCAGGGAATTTAAGCAACCAGTGTGACGTCACTCTGAGCATGACATAAGCCAGCTGCAGCACACCACAGGAAGGGTCCCCCATCCTCTTTAAAACCTCCAAAGGAAAGCGACCAAGAACAATAGTCCTGTTCTCCTCTCGGTCGAACCCTTCCTCTCCCCTCACTTCCTCTCCAAGGCAGCTCAGTGGCAGAAGCCGTCTCAGCCCTCAACTGCTCAGGGTCCCTCCTGATCCAGCTCACATCTGAGGTGGTTGTGAGGTCCCCGTGCCATTCACTGCCCAGCACCTCCACACAGCACCCAAGGGGTCCCGTGAAAACATCCACCCATCACCCCTGGGCTCACGTCTGTGGGTCACATCAAACTGGAGACCAGTGGAGAGGCCTGCCCCCTCCTGTATCCTTCCCGGGGCCACAGAGCATCCTCTCGCATCCTCCAGGGGCACACTCCCTCACACCCCAGGGCCCTCACACACACTCTTCCCTCCACTGCCTTCCCCCAAGCCTGGATAAGACCTCAACATGATGTCCTGACTGCAAAGAAGCCCTTCCCAACTCATCAGACCAGGCTGAGGCCCCAGAAGCCTCTCTCCCAGCCCTGCAGCTCCCTCAGGGAACTTAGCCCCCTTGTAAGGAGTTAGTTTTATGCAATGTCAGTCCTCGCTGCTGGGCGTGGGCACTACGGGGAAGGGCCAGCCTGCCTCCTCTCCTGCCTTGTCTCAGTGCCTGGCCGGGTGCCCCAGAGGATCCTTGGCAAAGGCGAGCTGAACGGCTAGGAAAACTTGAAGTAAAGGGCTGGCGACCCTGGGCCTCTGTAGGAGCCCGTGACCTGCTCTGCACCCTCTCTCTCCTCCCCTCAGCCCTCCTTAGCTCCCGCTTTCCCTGGCTCTCATCTTCCCCTCCTGTGTCCTCCTTCCCTGCCTCTTGTCCCCCTCAGTTTCCCTCTTCTGCTTCCTTCCCAGCCCCACTCTTCACCTAACTAGCTCCAACAAAGAGATATTCTTTGCATATGCATCATGAGTCCAGAATCAAATTTCAGACTACTGCACATTAAGAAACCCAGTGTTTCACAGACGAATGGATAAAGAAGATGTGGTACATATATACAATGGAATACTACTCAGCTGCAAAACAGAACAAAATCATTCCATTTGCAATAACATGGATGGACCTTGAGAGAATTATGTTAAGTGAAATAAGCCAGCGAGAGAAGGATAATCTGTGTATGACTCCACTCATATGAGGAATTTAAAACTATGGACCAAGAACAGTTTAGTGGATACCAGGGGAAAGGTGGGGTGGGGGGTGGGCACAAAGGGTGAAGTGGTGCACCTACAACATGACTGACAAACATTAATGTACAATTGAAATTTCACAAGATTGTAACCTATCAATAACTCAATTAAAAAAAAAAAAAAAAGGAAACCCAGTGTTTCCATTTCTGTGTCTCTCGAAAAGGCAAACTCTGCTCAATGGCATTAGTCTGACGCTGGTGCACCCTGGTCCCTGCTTCCGTGTCGTTCTGTGGCCACAACAGACAGGACAGGTTTCCATCTGACGTAAGGCAGGAAACGCATTCGAAAGAGAGCACCCTCGTGCTGTCATTTTGGGAGCAGGAGCCGCCAGGTGTTTGTAGTTTTAAAAAGTATTCCAGAGCTCAGCAGCCTGGTTCAGGGAACCGTCGTGAGGTGGAAGGGACAAGTCAGCTGGCACTAACGTGGGTGCCCCTGTGCTCCCCGGGGTCCACGTCACCCCATCGTGTGGAGTGGGGAACCCTGGGGTTCTGGGCCCATCCACAGGCACCCCTGTGCTAACAGCCAATGAGAGCTCAGCCTTCCTTCCTGGAAGGACACAGGCCCCCTGGTGGCAGAGATGGTGCAGACAGGCAGTCCCTGGAGGAAGATGGGGGTGCACTGACCCCACAGGAGTCCGGGCTGTGGGCCCAGCCCCGGACCAGGCCCCAGGGCCTCGGAGATGCATAAGACACGGTCCGCTGGAGACAGCTTTGCGAGGCCCACAATCACAGTTCTGGGCCCCCATATGCCTCATAGTGCACAAACACACCCAGCTAGCTGCCTGCGGCCCCCGTGGGAGGCAGGGAGCACATGTCAGTCCAGGCCAGCCTTGGGGACAGCTCAGCTTGGTGTCCTGCACTGCCTGGCCCCAGGGAAGCTGCCTGCAAATGGCTGATCCTGCCTCCAGGAAGGAGGGGAGGAGCAACCAGCAGAGTCCACAGGCATCCGGGAGGTGAGGGAAGGGCACTGAGGAGGTCATGCTCTCTGGGGGACCTGGGCTCAGAGGATGGAGGGCTTGCTGTGCCCTTTCTGGAACACATCCGCCCTTGTCTACCACGATGACGATGCTCTCCCCCAGCTCCCAAGACCCAGCTATGGACCACCTCCCTAAGAAAGCCCCCTTCCACCCTCTGTCCTGGGAGACTCCCGGGGCTCCCGACCAGCTGGTTAGCCTACATACACACAGATCCCACCTCTGCTAGGCCAACACACACTCTCCGCCAGGAGCTGGGAGGAGAACACGGCAGGCTAGTGAGCTTCTCGTGGACACCTGGCCTGGGAGGTGGGTGTGGCCAGGGTAGAGGCAGGGTGCTCCCTGCGGTGTGAGCTGAGAGAGACTCACTGAGGGCACTGCCAGCCCGGCCCCCTGATGTGGACTGTGAGTGCATGCAGCCCCCAGGGGCCAGGGAAACCCATGGACTTCCTCCGCACCCCTCTCTTGGTTTATGCTTCTGGGCAGACTTCTGTCCTTGGAAATGTGACCTATGGCCACATCCTGCCCTGATGGCCTGACGGCCTTGGCTGCCTCAGTAGTCCCCCAATGCCTGCACACACGTATAGCCTACACAGAGCTGGGGCCCTGGCAGCGCAGGCCCACGTGGACCAGACCTAGACACGCGAGCAGGCGGCCCTGTCCCTGCTGCCGGCGCCCTGGCCCCTGCCCCCGCTCACCTGTTTTGATCATGGAAGTCTCCGGGTGGGCACTGAGCATCCCCTTGTTGTAGAATTCACTCTTGTGATACATGTTGTTCTCAAACTGCCTCAGGGATTGAGGAGGTTTCAGCAGTTGCCAGTTCTTGTTGTCTGGAAAATGGTCCTCGATGAACAGTGCGGGATGGGTGAGGAAGTAGAATTCATTGTAGCTAGAACGGGGAGAGGCCGGTCAGTAGCCAAGCAGGGTGAGCAGGCCCCAGCTCTGTGACGGGCAGGCGGGCTCTCAGCGGGGTCTCTGGGGCCTTGTTCTGGCTGACACACCCACAGGAGGGGTCCCACCGACTGAATGAGAAGAGGCACCACGTCCGATCCTAACGTGGGCACTGGAGCCTCCCGCTCAGTGTCTGCTTCCAGAAATGGGAGCTGAGGCAGGATCTGAGGCCCCTTCTAAGAGAAGGCCACAGCCCACAACTGTGTCCAGACAGAGATGTGAACAAGCGGAGGCACGGCTGGTGGAGCAGGTGCCAGCCAGTGAGAGGAGGGACGGCAGGAAGGGAGGGTGCAACAGCTCTGTCCACCCCAGCTGGTCTTGTGCGTGAGGAGCTGTGGGGGTGAGAGGCCCTTCCGCGGTCCCTGGGGCCCACTAGATGTGGCTGTCTGAGGTCAGTGATGGGGACCAAGGGAAGAATGGGGACTCATCTGAGATGGGGAGGTTCCACTCGGCCCAAGATGAGCAGCACCCAGAGCTGACAGAGGCAGAGGGGGTGTGTGAGTGCACAGCTCTGGGTGTGGGGGTGGTGCGTGTACTTGTATTTGTCCCATGTGCAAGACTGTCAAGATTTAAACTGCAAAAATCAGAGACAACGCTCTCATTTTCTGGATACAAAGGAATCTGAGCTGCAGATGGATAGCACGACCCAGGAGGAATGTCACGGCCTTAGCTTAAGGCCGGGGTTGGCCAGATCCCTGGAGGTCAGACCGGCTCCAGTCTCCAGCACCCTAGCCCTCCACTCCAGTGTGGCTCACAGCAACTCTGCACACTGACAGCACTTCCCACAAACCATGACCCCCTCCTCAGAAATGAGATATGGCCTCTGACAGCCCAGAGAGGAGGAGGAAGCCCAGCCTCTGGGGGAGCAGGAGGAGAGAACCCTGGCATCCGCGCACAGTAACAGTCAACGGCCAGAGGCCTGGAGGGAACCTCCAGGCAGGTAAAGGAGCTTTTGGGCCCTGCCTTTCCTCACATGTGGCCAGGGCCAAGTGCTAGAGGCTTCTAGCACTCAGGGGGAGGGGGGTGGTGGGGGGGCACACGAGGAGCCAGAGCAGGGATTAGGTGGTGGAAGGTGAGGTGGCAGAAAGGTCTGGGCCCTTGTAATTGGGCTGGAGCGAGCTCACTTGGGCGCAGGAGGAAAGGGGGGAGCGGCCAGCAGCAGGTTGAGCTGCCTGGCCTCCCTCCCCTCCCGCCAGGCCTTCTCCACCTGCAGCCTCCTTCATCCGCATGCCTCCTCCGTTTCCACCGCCCAGACACGCAGCACGTAGAGACTTGTACTCACAGGAAGGTGAATTTGGAGGTGGCGGAATCCACCAGGCCGCTGCCCCAGGTGCTGTCCACCAGGTGCCATCTCCCGTCCAGATACACGGCGTTCCAGGCGTGGTCAAACTCCCCGGAGAAGCTCTGCCCCGTCTGGTAGCCAAAGCCCTTGGAGTAGCCAGGCACCGTCATGCACTGCACTCCAGCGATCCTGCGGGGGGAGGGGGTCTGAGAGGGGCTGCTGCTGGCTGGCCCCTCAGAAGTCAGTCTGTCTGTGGCCCCAGGCCTCGGGTAGGTCTGCTGTCCGTCAGTCCTTCTGTGCCTCTCCTCTTTCCTGCCTCTCACACAGCCACATGTGTACAGCCTGAGGGCTCTTATCTCCAGCACTGCGGGAGACCAGGGGCCGGGCTGGCCGCAGTCCCCGCTGTCTGCTCCTCCCTCAAGACTGTGCAGATGGCTTCTGAAACGTCTCTCCCCAGACCCCACCTGAGTGCTGGGCCAGCAGCTCTTCAGGACGAAGGGGCAACAGTGAGGATCGCCCCAAGAACACGGAAACCAGGGAAATAGCGATGTTTCTGAAGAACCAGGGCGGCTCCAAACACGTGGCTGAGGAGCTGGGTCCAGGTGACACGGGGGGTGGGCATCAGGGAGGGGTGCTAGACATGAGGGTGCTGAGGAAAGCTGAGCCTACTTCCCCCGCTATGTCCTGCCCAAGGACATCTGTGTGGGGACCCCTGGGGCAGGCCAGTGGCAACTTTAGCCCTGACCTGGGAGGACTGGCCCACGGCCAGCATCGCTCAGGTCCGACTGCCAGGGCCACACCGTGCATTGTCATCTGCTGACTGATTGCCCTGGCCACAGGTTCAGAGTCCCTGGGAACTGTCCTTTGGGAAATGCTGACCAGTCAGCTGGAGCCTTCCGTGTGCTCCCCCACTGCTCACAACCAAGCTGGCATCACTTTCTGAGACCAGGACAATGGGGGTGGGCAGGTCACCACTGGGGACCACAGAAACCATGAGCAAGCTGCTATCTGGGCGTTTGTAGCTGAGACCCTGAGGCCCAGACTTGGGCTGTGGGCACCACCCTGAGGCCAAAGCAAGAACACAGAGAGTCCTGCCGTGGCCAGCTGGCCATCTCTCCAGCAGCCTGACCCCTCACAGCAGCCGAGGAGGAGACTGCTACCCTGGCCTAGGAGACATCCTGTGCTAGCCCTTCTGGAGCCTTTGCGTGAGTTAGAAAAAGGTGCCTCGTCTTCAACACACTCTCCTTGCACACTCTCCTTGGAAGATGGGTGTAGTAAATACACAAATACGTGAGATCAGCCTGCGCATGGTGGCCCCTTCACAGGGCTCCTTCGAGCACCGCAGAGCGCCCGGGCGGAGGCTGTGCTACGCTCAGATGGACCGAGGCTGCACTCCCGGGTCGCCGGGGTTCCTGCAAGGAGGCGGCCCCTGGTGGCCAGGATCCTTCCGTGGACCAGGTCTGCAGTCTCAGTTGCTCCAAACAGGAGGGCCATGGAGCCTTTCAGAGTAATGGGGAGAAATGGCTACTTACTCACTATAGGAACGGGGGGAAATGTTCCCTCTAAAAACGATCACTTAAGTTAGTAGAATGTTAGATTAAATATTACTTATCTTTACCCACATGTCATTTGTTGAGAGAGTCAGTGAGGCAAAATGGAGAGCCTGGGGGTTCCCAGACCCCACCGCACCATGGTGCTGCTTGCGGTGCACACAATGACCCCATCCCCGATGACCCCGTCCCTGTGGGGCCTGCATCCCCCTCCCTGCAGTGCGGGCCCCTCTGCTGAGGTGCCTTCTGGGCTCGGATGTCCCACAGTCCAGCGCTTCTGCCTGCAGCTTCGCAAAAGGAAGTCCAGGCCTCCAAGGCTGTCCAAGAAATCCCACGAGAACAGACCAGCTGGGCCTGCGGGAAGGGTTCTGGGAGCTCTCGCGGGCTGGGGCAGAGCAAGAGAAGCTGCATCCTGATGTCCAGCTTGTCTGCTGGTAAAGACCAAAACCAACTCCTGGCGCAGAAGGGTGGCCCAGAGGCAGGAGGCCCCAGGAGGCAGCAGGCTGAGGAGACCTCGGAGGAGAGAAGGGGCAGTGGGGAGCCCTGGCGAAGCCGCTGTCTCATCAGCTGCCATGCTGCAGAGGACGGCCGGAGGGTTGCAGGCCGAGGGGGCGTTCTCGGGATGCAAGATCTGAATGTGTTTATAGTCTTAGAGAAACAGCTAGCAGGGACGGAGGGGCGAGGCAGGGCCAGGAGGGTGCCTGCATACATGGAAGAGGAAAGACGGGGGATGGCAGAGTGAGAGAGACTTTGCAAAAGTCACCTGGTCTCTTGGTATTGGGATTATGTGTGATTTTCTTTTTCTTCTTTAGACTTCTCTATATTTCCTAAATTTTCAATAACGATTATGTGTTAATTTTAGAATTTGAAAAAATCCATAAATACTACTTGAAATTACATTCTTTGATGAGTTACTTTCTTTCTTGCCCAGAATGTCTGTGCATGACAATTTCTAGGATGATATGGAGTATGGATAAGGGGAGTCCTGGGAACAATGAGGTTTAGAAAATGGCCTGCTTTGCAGTAAGGTGAATGGATTGAGTGCAGCTGTGGACCTCTGGACTCGCTGCCCACTGATGCTCGTCCTCCGCTCAGAGCCACCTGGAGTCAGGAAGGAAGGAAGAGCACCGACCATCCACGTGGCCTCCAAGATTGTGGTAAAATGGAGCAGGCGCTGATGGGGGCAGCATGGCTGGCTCACACTCTGCCTGAATGTCCTCCTAGGAGAAGCCATGTCCCTGGGCAGTGTGCCAGGGGGGTGTCCTCCCTCTGAGGGGGTGAAGTGGAGGGAAGATTAGAGAACCAATTAGGGGAGCAGGAGTGAGAGCCCCCGCCCCAAGCCTGGACAAGGCTGAAGGAGGGAGAAGTGAGAGGCAGGATGTCCACCTGGAGTGCTCCGGGCTGCAGTGGACATCACTGGGCCGAGCCAGGGGATCAGGACTCTACTCCCAGCTCTAGCTGTCACCTCCAGTGTGACCTTGCCAGCCTCACCATGGGCCAAAGGAAAGGTTGGCATTATGTGATCTCTGGGGGTCGATTCTCCTCTGACAGGCTGAGGAGAGCCTGGGAGGCTGTGGGGAATGCCTGGGGCAGAATAAAGATGAAAAAATAGGCTCAGCTGTAAGCTATGCCATGCTCGATGTCATGTGAGGGTATTTTATTACCTAGCAGCAATGTGCAAGATGAATTGGACAAAGAAGTCACACTGTAAAGCATTATTATTAATAATCCGTAATTCTCATGCAAAATTGTGGGACTAGTAATTCTAGCTGCTGGTTGCTAGTCAGGATGACGCAAGACCATTTTATGTCATCAAAAGATCACTGACCACACATACTATGTGCAAAGCACTATACCAGGCATGAGCGAATAAAATACCATTATGCTAGGCTATGCTAAGGTATGCTATAATATAATAACTACTGTAACATAATAAAATAAAATACTCCAAAAATAAAGCTCACTGGCTGCCCTAGATGTGCTCATGGTTGGAGGCGGGGGCAGATATGTGAGCCATCGCTAGAGCGCTGGTGATAAGCACAGCCCTGGGGAACCCAAGGGAAGAGGAATTTGCTGGAAAGAGCTGGGAGAACACTGAAGAAGGGGCAGGGGATGAGAAATGTTTCCACGTCCGAAATAGCTCTGACCAGTCATCCTAGAGCCCAAAATATCACCCAAGGAGATCTAATAACTTCAGACTGCAGAATCTTGGCTTTTACTTTTGACGTTTTTGAAAACCCCAATGCCAGTGATATTAATTGAGGAGGCGGTGGATCCAGACCGTGACCGTCATTTTACACAGAGATGGTCCAGGTCCCGCCGTAGGATGGCTGAGCTGTTTGGGGAGGGCAGTGCACCCTGCCCACATCAGGTTTTGACCAGAGCCGACCCCCAACTCTGATCACGTCTCCGGGGATGTCTGAGCCACAGGGGAAAAAAGGGAGGGGGAGAGACCGCAGCTGTGGGAGAGGCAACGAAGACCACTCTTTTTTTTGGTATCTTATTGAAAATATTGAGATTTCTAGTAGTGAAATGAGGAAATATGGTTTTATTAACTTTAAGCCCAATAGTCACTTTAACTGGGCAAGCATATGTGAATTAGAAATTTTAGGGTCTTGCTGTTCCCGAAACATTGGTCCTCAAGAAGGTTAACATTACTGCAATAAAGCTAAATTCTAAACTGACAAAAAAAATGGTGTTTTCTATACTGCACAGAACAAGCATCACCATGACTATGTTTCATAATTTACGTAGTTGATTTCCTATAAATTTGACAGCGTCTTTCTCTTTCTGCTGTGTGTTCCCCTTTCTCTTCTCTTACACCACCCTTATGGCAAGGTCAGTACCTGTAATCACAGCAATAATTCTTTCTCCAGGGCCCTGTTTAGAGCCCCATGAGGTGTCACCTCAGGGACCTCTTCTCTGACCTGTGATGAGTCAGCTGTTCAGAGAGGGAGGCTGACTTGCCTGGGGACACACAGCCAGCCAGTGGCCTTATCAGCACCAGGGCTCAGTTGTCCTGATGCACAGTTCTGAAGACTTTGCAATTCACCAGTCCTTTTGTACACCAAGATTTGTTTTAATCTATAAACTTATGGGTGGTGTACAGAGCGAAAGTAAAGGAGGGTTTGCTGTAGTGACATAATTGGTCTTTGCGAGCATTATCCTTCGGTGTATCTGTAACGGTGGGGGGAATTTAGAGGTCCTATTCTGAGGCCCTATGTGACAAAGTCAGGTTTGGGGATAATTTAAGGTTATTCGATGTATCTGCCTCTCCCAGGAGCCTTAGACACTCACTCCCCAGCCTCTGCGGCCTTTGGAGCCAAGTGATGCTTTGGGATTATCAGGGACATCATGCTGAGTGGAAGCATGCCACTGCTCTTGCTCTCTGTGACAGCTGGAGGATGGATGGAAAACCGCTGACATCTGAGTGGTGACAACCAGTCCCCTCAGCACCAAAGCCTCAAACTGGTAATAAGCTCCTGGCTTTATCAAAATTTCTGGAAAATCTGCTACCTGGTGGTGGTGGAGATGTGATAACCGGGGTGGGGGGGGGCGTTGGGGGGACGTTCTAGAGGCTGACTCGGTGGCAGGAAACTGGGGAATTAATCTTGGCCCCTGAGTGAGAATTAAGCAAAATACATTAAGCTTGTGGGGAACTGAGGCAAAAGGAGAGACCTCAATGCTGGACGATAGAAAGTCAGAAAGAAATGGGACCAGCAGTTACAAGCAATAATACCAACAAAAAACCTCACATCAGTTACTTGGGAAAGACGATGAGGAAAGGAATGATGCTGCAAAAATATCTGAATTCCCCACCAAATTACTTTATTAAATCAGTATTTAATGAGGCCATTGCAGAGAGGCGGAATGGACTGGCAGAAGTAATGATGGCCATGTGGGTACAACTCTTGCTAAGAGGCCACTCTGACAACTAAGCAAGAATAAATCAGCAAGTGTGGATTACATGTCTTCGATTATTAAGGAATCAGCTAACAAATTTACCAAACCTTCAGCAGTTATTTTAAAGGTAAGGGGAATTAGGAAAGTGATACATGCATGAGGCTACTGATCTTTACAGCAAAAGTTGAAGGAATTCAGGCAACTGGGAGGTATTGGGCAATGTGAAGAAGCTTGTACATGGTAACTGCCAGGTTGCAACCTAACTTTAAATGATGCAAAATTTTGGACTGTGTTTTAATGATCAGCTGCAGGCCAGAATATGGCCATTGTTAAGCATCTGAACCAGGCCAAAAAGCTGACAGTTTCATTCAAGGCAAGTGTCAATTTTCTGAGTCTATGTGGGTTTACGTGATGGTAGCAAAGTTCCACAGAGCAAAACCGCTCTAGTACTCAAGAAAGGCAAGAAAGGTTTAAAAAAACAACCCCAAACTCAGGTTAGAAAACCCAAAACTGAATGTTCTCCTTTAGTCCTGCAGTCCTGCCACTAGGCAGTACAGCCCCCAGGGTACAGATGGGGAAACTGAGGCTCCAAGAGGTTAAGTGCCCTCCCAAAGGAACAAAACTAGGTAGTGGTAAAGCAAGGACTGGAAGTTAAGGACAGGTAAACTGAGGACTGGAGAAGTCTAGCACTGCTTCTGTGCCATGCTGGGAAGCTTGTACTGGATAAAGAAGGATATATTCTGCGACTTGAAAACCCTGAGTGTTTTTGAATTTGCAAATTCAGAGGAAAATAATTATGTTCTGAAAGATGCTAGGCACAAATAAAGCTACAAACAGATAGACGGTTATTCCATTATTTAAAAAGAGAATAAGGCCTATTTCAGATGAGTCTTGTGTATAAGGTGTGCTGACGAGGGAGGGAGAGCTGGTGGGCTGTCCTGGAGTGGGGCCTGGAAGGAGCAGTGGGGAGAAGGGAGCAGCGAGCATGAGGAGCTGAAGTGTGGGCAGCGTCAAGGGTGCAGGGCTGGAAGGGCAGGTGACGTTAGATTTTGGAGGCCTGGGGAGCCTGGGCAGGGGGGGTGGTGAGGATCCCAGTGCCTGGAGAGGCCCAAAGGCACGTGGGGGCACGTGGGTCTGGGGTGGGGATGGCGCTGGGAACATGCAGGGTGGAGAGGCTGCTCTGGCAGTGTGGATGGGGAGCGGAGGGGCCAGCATCTTCTGCACCCTGACCTGCCCTGGGTCCCTCTGGGGCTGTGGTCTCAGGGATGGGCCTTAGAGGTGAGGGAAGAGAAGAAGAGAGGGCGAGCAGGAGGGTTGGAGCAACATAGGGCCAGGCGCCTGTCCATGCTTGGCGGTGGTGATGGGGGTGGGAGGCCGTACAACTGGGGGTCAGGCCAGGAATAGGCTGTGTGCCCCCCAGGAGCAGGATGTCTTGCGGCTGCCCGTGCAACACTGACACATCACAGCTGCTGCCTGTGGACTCTAAGTGTTTGTTGCTATGCTTCAGTCCTGTGGGCTGACAGCTGGGTGCCTGAGAAGACCCTTCCCAGAAGCCTGCAGAGACACTGGGCAGCAGTCCATCCACCCCCCGTGGAGGGCGCTTTTTGGTGGCCCACAGGGCTGGCCGATTACTTCTTGGGGAGCCCAGCAGACCTCAGAGAGTGGGCCCAGGAAGCTGCAGGGGTCAGCGGGGCTCCCCTAGCCTTGAATCTGTCTCGAGGTCACTCGGAACCAGCAATAAATTTCCTTACCAGCCACGTGCCTGCTGTCACCCCTGCTGGCAACCTGGCCAGTGCTCACTTCCAGAGCAATGACAATGGAGCCCAGAGGCTCCAAGAGAGAAGCTGCCTCCTCGTTATTCAGCTTTTCCAACTGACACATCTTTCCAGGTAGGAGAGTGTTTGTCTCCCCCGAGAGAGGTCCCCTGCGCCAGCCCCGAGGACAGCCTTTCACAGTCCCCTTGGCGACAGCAGCCACCGTCCTCCCGTTCCTAGATCTGCCATTCTTCTAACCTTCAGCTGCACAGAGATGGGAGAAGGTGGAAAAAGGGCCTTTTATAACGAAATTATCTCTGTGCATTCATCTGCCATTATGTTAATGCATCGCGAAGCCCGGCAGATGGTACAAAGTCAATTATGCTGGTGTTAAAAAGGGAGAAATTGACCTTTTCAGGACTCACTTGGATTCCAGGACAGAGTTTGCAAACTCAGGTTTCAGGCCTGGCATGTGGGCGAAGGCATACAGTGCTTTGGAAGGGGAAAGATGGGGGGCCGGGGTGGTCAGCCCTGGGGCTGCCTGCCTTTCCCCAGACTCCTCTCGTACCTGCACATTTTCTCAAAGAGCCCGGCGTAGCCGTCACAGTTGGTCTTCTGGGTCCGCAGGATGTCAGTGGGTTTGAAGGCCTGGCGGTCCTTCTCCTGGGCCGCCTCGATGTCGTACTCTGGAGGGCAGAGGAGGAGGCCGTGAGAAGCCAGGTCCTGGGAGGCTGGTGCAGAGGAGGCGGGGGGGTTCCACTGCCCGCAGCACTGCCCCCGCCCTCGGCTGTGCTTTCTGCATCATTTGGGCTGACCTCCCTCAGGCCCAGGAGAAGCCACTGTGGGCTGAGTGGGGCAAGAGCTTGCCCAGGCTGAGCTGCTGGAGTTGGGGTGGGAAGAGGTGGCCCCTCAGGCACTATGGCCCGTGTCAGGTGAGTTCATCCTCTCAGCTGCTGCATCCTAACTCCTGCTCTGGGAGGACGAAGGAAGAGCCCAGTGGCAGCGGGTCAGGAAAGCCCTACTGGTCATAATGTCACAGGGAAAATACCGGGTCTACCTCACCACCTGGCTCCTCCATCGACTGCAAGGGACTAGCAACCAACATGGGGCTTGGTTTGACCTGCTGAGACTCCCAAGGCTGTCCGGTGCCGAGCTGTGGGCAGCTGCACAGGCCCAGGCCCCTGAGGTGGCTCTGAGAACCTGGAGACTGGGCTGAGATCGTGGCCAAGGTCACCGATGTGGGAATAGGGAGCAGGGACAAGAGAGCCTGCCCTTCCTGGTGCTGGTACTTTAAGAGGCTGGTGGTGTTGCAGTAACTTTTCAAACAGCTGTGACTCCTCCCCAACCGATGGTCATCCTTCTTGGAGATGACCTTCTGTCCTGAGTTCTCATCTCTGTGGAGCAGGTTTCCCAGGAAGCCAGGGCTGAGGGAAGGCTGCCCCTGGATGAGGGCCTCAGCTCTGGCCACTGGCTGTGGGCAAAGGGCCACAAGGGATCCCCCAGCCAACGACCCTTCATGGAGAACATTAGCACACGGCGAGCTTTACCCTCCTCGGTTAGTCTTTGGTTATTCAACCCAGCCATCTGGGAACCCCTCTCCTCCACCTTCCATCTCACTCCACACACTGTGATCGAGTGAGTCCCAGAGACCCTCCCCTGGGAACAGGGGCCAGCAGGAAGTGGCATCCAGGGATCCCAGCACAGTGGGCCGCAGGTGGGCCTACCTATGTGGTGGCAGATCCAGATCCAGATGGCACGGACCCTCTCCAGGTCACTGTGGGCCTCCTGGAGCAGGTCGCTCACCAGCTCATCCAGGCCACTCTTGACCGTCACCTGGGGAGTTATTGCTTAATGGGTACAGAGTTTCTGTTTAGGGTGAGGAAAGCATTTGGAAGTAGATAGTCGTGATGGTTGTACAACACTGTAAATGTAATTAACGTCACTGAGTTGTACACTTAAAAATGATTCAAATGGCAATATTATGTTATATATATTTTACTACAATAATAAAAAAGAAGAAATTAGGTTTTCTCACAGGAACCCTCAGGAGGAAACAGGGTTGGTGTTGCTGGAAAGGCAGCCTGACCATGTTCAATCTTTGCTGAGAAGCCCGGGTGACTGGGGGTCAGTTCCTGCATTAATTGCCCCTGCCTTCCTCAGCCTCCAGCCCAGGGTACTCCCTGGCCTCGTTGTCTCCTGGAGCCACTGCCCACATCTGAACTCCAGGACTTTCTGCCTCCGACATGCCCAGCTGCCCCCACTTCCTTTTCCTCCAGCTTCAACTCCATAGTCCTGTCTTTTCCCCTCTCCTGGGGCCTGGAACAGCGCTGACACATGGCAGGCCTGCACTGTGACAGCCTGGCTGACTCCCGACTTAGCCCCAGACTTTGGTCCTATGGCTTCTGCTCCTTTGGTCCCATCCTCTAGGTGGCAGCTTGCTCCGACCATCCACTGCTCTGTGGCTGGATCTCTGGCCTCAGCTGGGCTCCTGGCACTGCTCTCTGAGCCTGGCCAGCAGCCTGTCCCATCCCCTCTGGCAGCCATTACAACATACCCCACCCTCCTCAGACTCTGGACACTCGTGCCCCTCTCACTCCCCTCACTCCGGCAGATGACCTGGCCTCCGGCTCCACGAGGCCCTGGTGGGACTTCCTTACTTCCTGCTCCCCATCTTTCCTCTCTCTCGCCTGCTCAGCAGCCTCTCTGTTGGCCTGGAGTCCAGGCCTCCTGCCTTTGGAGGGCCTGCTCCTCCTCAAGGCATGCCCTTGCTCGCCTGTGTCCTGCTCCCCCTTCTGTCCTGGCTGTCCCTTCCCCTCCTGTCTGCCTGTCTCTTCCAAGCGGCCCCCAATCTCTCTCTCAGGACACCCCACGCCTAGCCTCCCCTTCTTTGCCAGGCTCCTGTGGGGTCTCCTCTCCATTTGTGCATCAGCCAGACTCCAGCAGGCTGAGGCCTCCAACCCTCCTCTGAACTGCCCCTCCGGAAGTAAGAAGTACCTTGGTGCCGGTGCCGGTGCCCATGTAGTGAAAACGAGTCTGTGCTACCTTCGCCTGACCAGACTACACAGCTCCCCTTGGGAGCCCCTCCCTGCACCTTCCAGCACACTGATCCTTCCTGGCCTTGCCCAGCCTCTTTGGTGGCCTCAGGCCCTGTGGACCTCCTGTCCTGCCCTCCCCAAGATGACACCCACCCAATGGCCTCAGCTCTTAGCTAAATCTGATGGCTCCCGAATCAGTGTTTTGGGCCCAGACCTCTCCAGGCTGGAAACAGCTCCCAGCTCGGATACAGCTCTGGCCCAGTGGTCTTTTCCACTGGACGTGCCACAGGTCCTAGAGCCCATCGCTCCCTAAGCAAATTGATCACTCTCCCCGCCCCCCAACTTGCTCCTTCTCCCTTGCTCCCTGTGGTGAGGAATTGCCCCACCCTCCCTCCCTCCCTCAGTCCAGCGCCCCGGAGCCCCTCTCCTGCCTTCCGCCTCACTCCATACCCACTGCGGACCGCGGCCTTCCTCTCCGCCTCTAGCTCAGCGCTGACCTTTCGGGTTCTCTCTGTTCTCAATGTCCTCGCTTATCCAGGTCATGCCTCCTGCCAAGACAGCCCGATGTCCCCCTACTGACGTCCCTGCCTCTAATCTGACTTGATCCCTGCTCTATCCATCCACTCACCAATTCAACAAACAAGGATCCTGAGTACCTACTACGTGCCAACCACAGGGTGGTCTTTCTCAGACTAGACAGTCTCCCTGTCTACTGTCCCAGGATGACTCACTCTGATGTCAGCAATGGGTCCAGATCCTTGGCCCCTCCTACCAGACTGTGTGGGGAGGCTCTTGCCTGGCTCCCAGGACCCCAGTGTGTCCCTGGTGCTTCAGCTCTTGTAGCTGCCCTTCCTCACCCTAGATGTGCCCAGACCCAGAGGAGTGAGAGCTCAGAGCCCATGTGCCCCAGGGGTGAGCGTGGCTGTGGTCACAATGGGGGCTGGCCATCTGCATCCATGGCCAGCCCCAATCCTCATGTTCTCTTCTTTCATGGTCTGGGGCTGGCATGGCTCAGCAGTAGCAATGCCCAAATGGGCAGGGGGAGGGCAGGATAGGGCTGGCCAGAGGGGCCTGCCAATGGGGCGGCCACAGGGGCTGTAGTCTGGGGTGGGAGTGCCAGGATCGTGGGTAGGGTAGGGGGATGGAATAGCCTTTGGTGCTGGGCAGGGGCCTCTGCCTTGGGCCTTCTGTCCCCCACCTATTTGCTGTGAAAGACACCCATGGCCATTCCTCCAAGGGGCTCAGAACACTCTCAGGAGGGGTCTGGGGAGAGGCTTTGCTACCCTGGCTTGGGGAACTCCAGCCACGCTAGAGGCCCCGTGGGGAGAGGGGCTGGCTCTCCTACCTGTGAGGCATAGGTGTCCAGTTTCTCAAACTGCCGCAGGTCCAGGGGCATGGATTTCAGGCTGGACCGATCCCAGGGGTAGGCTGGAAACACAAGCAGGCAGCTGCTGAGACCTGCTGACGAGGGCTGCCTGGCCCAGGCCTCATCTTTTTGAGGAGCTATGACTGCCTGACCTTCCACATGATTCCCAAAGTCTGGAACACTGCTCCCAGCGCTCTATTTCCTAGAGGGTTTCTTGGTCTCATTGGTTTGGGAACTATGGCGACTCCTCTGGTCCTCTTGGAGACTCACAGGGAACGTGAGCCTATCTGTAGCCCCAAGGGGTCAGCGATAAAGAGACTGATCTCACCTCAACAGGCTTGCTGCCCCTAGTCCGATGGGTGATGGAATCCCCTTCTCCCCACCCTTGGGTTTTCTGCAGATTCCCTGTTAACTTTCCCAGGAATGAGCGCTCTGTGGAAAGTGTCCAGGCAATGTTGCTAGCCCCTGATGAGCTCAGGGTGGGAGGGTCCTGCCACAGCCACGGTGCCTGGTGGAGAGGGGCTACAGAGCACCCTGGGGGTAGGAGGAGGGTGCGGGAGGGCCGGGCCATCTGGGCCCCCATTGGGGGAGGTGGGTCTGGCACTCAGACAGGTTTCCTTCCTTACCCATGGTCAACTGGCAATAGAAGACCCCAAGAAAGCCAAGTGTGTTCTGGCAACAGGCACCCAAGGTACCGTGGGGGAGCCCTTGAGGCTGTGCCTTGTAGCCATTCATCCAAGTCTAGCCTTTCTCACAGGAAGCCTGGACACAGGACAGCCCTCATCAGCTGTTGCAGGGCTAACTGACCAGTGGTCAGACCAACAGATGGACAGACAGCAGACCTCTGTCCAAGCCCAGAAGAGAGCCTGGGCTTGGCCAGGATCCTTCTTATTCAAGGCCCCCTGAGCCAGGCTGACCAAAATCAGGCAAATTTGGTGGGAGACAGGGAGGGGGTGAGAGGAGGATGGGGCGAAAGGGGACAATCCCCTGACTCATGTGGACTCACCCACCTCTCAGCCTGCCATGTCAGGAGACTCTGAGTGTCGGGTGAGTGAGGGGAGCTGGTGGGGCCCCAGGGTATGGCAGTACCTTGGGAAGAGCAGAGTGACTGGGCAAGTGCCTGGTGGGGCTGCATGAGGCCAGGGTTCTAGTCGGGGCCAGACCTCCACCTCACTAGGGGGCGCTGGACCCAGACACCAGGCCTCAGGCGCATATCTACGGGGCTCCTGGGAGAGTGAAAGAGATGGTGGGTCACGTTGTAAGGTCGTTGTCACTACTCTCCGGGGCTGTGGGGTGCAGGGTGGGGGTCCTCGCAGGCAAGTGCGGGAGCAGGGGAATGAAGCTTCTCTGCCCCGTGGGGGGCTACAGCTGCATTTGTCCACATCCCTGAGGGTCTCTTACTCCCGTGCTGTAGACCCAAGAGATGTGGTAAGAGGGTGGGGGGGAGTTACCACCAGCTCTGGCCCGAGCTGCCCCACGACCCCCTGGGAGTGTGGGATGAGAGGCAGTGCTGGTGGTTAGGGAGCTGGCCAATGCTGGCCACCGAGGAGATCCCTGCCCACAGTCAAGCACTTCCCCACTGTCCAAGGTCTGTTCCTATTAGGAACCAGGCCTTCTTCCTTCTCAGCCTCACTCTGCTCCCCTACTTCCTGCTGACACACTCTCTGGGGGGGTTTGGTCTCTTTGACTGGAAGCCCCTGACTGGGTTCTCGCCATAGCACATCCTCTGACATATCCAGGATCTGAGGGCTGTTCCTCTCTTGAGACGGGGCAGGGCGTGCTGTGGGCAGGCAGGCTACGGCTTCACCCAGCAACCTAGCATTTTCTTTCTTCATTTTTCTGCTCCTTCTACAAGAACCAAGACCTTTCCTGGACTCCCCTAAATCCTTTTGGCCTGTACAAGCTTACATTGGAGCTCCCTTGAAGCCCAGCGCCATTGTTGCTCACTCCTCGGGTGCTGGAGCTGGGATCTCTTGCCTCCCATTACTTAGATCACCATCAGTGCCCATCCTGTGTGGTCTGAGTGCAGCCCCGGCTCTGCCAGCCCTTCAGAAGGAGTGGAGACACAGCGGCTGGCCCTGCTGAGCTTCACACTTCTCAGCGCCCCTCCCTCTGCGGAATCTGGGCCTGCCATTCTCTGACAAGGACCATCACGGTGACCTAAGTGGATATGAAGTGGACCTATACAGTTAACAAGTTTCCACTCAGAACAGCTCTGCAAATGAGGTCTCCCCTGACCCCATTTAGAAGAAGGATGGCATTTCTAAAATGGGACTGAAAACCTGATTACTGGTTTTACCTTTTTTTTGTTTCCATGTTACAATATCTGAACATTAAAAATAATTGTAATGATTTATGCCTCATTAAATTTACCTTTTGAGCAGATTATATAAGATCCAAATATGATTTTGCATAAATACATTTAACGTACTAGTGGCGTTAACTAAAATTATTCTAATTTTCAAGCAAAACAACAGGAAGAAGTGCCAAGCTGCACCAACCCTTAGATGCCATCTGGTCTACTGAGGCCCAGAAAGGTGAGTGAGGGACAAAAGCAGGATTCGAACCAAGGTCATCTATCACCCAATTCAGGGTTTCCTCCTCTGCCCCCTCTGCTTATTCACAAGCCTCCTATCTCACAGATGTTTGGCATTCCATTTAAAGTTAACACAATTCTGAATTCTGTTCTCAATATGTTTCCTGAAATGGGCTGCGTTGTTATTGGTGGGTTTATCCTGTAGTTTTGGGATCCCATCTGGTGTGTGAGCTTTTCACTTCTCCACCTGTGTCCATGGCAGACATTGCCAATCAATCATGATACTCCTCTCCCCCCGGCCCGTAGCAGCCCCAGATCTCAGCACAGTGCCCTAGGGAGCCATTTCCAGTTGATGGATGATTGGCCCATGAGGCTAAACCAATTCGCCATCCCGGAGAATGGCTCTCAAGAAGGCTCTGTAACTTACCATGGGCGTCTTTCCCCCCAGGCTGCCGGGGTCTTGTGTTTCCATTTTTATCGCCTTGTAAACCTACAATATCCCAAAGGTCAGAAGTAGAGAAGACACTTCAGAAGACATAGAAATGCAAGCACAGACGAGTCTCTGTGTGGTGATCCTTGCCTCTGACCCCTCATCTTCACTCTCCTTGACTCTCCTTCTTGCAGCCTTCTTGCTCCCATCCCCACCCACCACTGAACTGCTGCTGGAACTGCCCTGGGCTTCCTGGTGAGGCAGAGGGAGGACCAGGAACCAGGGAAGGGATGATGAGAGAGAGGCCTGCAGTCTGGAGCAGAGGTGGAATTTGCTCTGACATCAACACTCTGGATTACTCAGTGAGCCCACCTGGAGCCTGATGCTCCTGCCCTCATCTGATCCTCCTGCCATCTCGGAACACAGCGGGAGATGCTGAGAGCACCAGCGAATTCCCTGCCAGAAAACCCCGGACAAGCACTGACCGAGGGCAGACAGGAAGTGGGGAGAGGGGAAGGCAGCTTGTGTGGAGCTCGAAACCCAGAAAGACCAAGTAATTATAAAATTATTCCTGGGGAATGTTCTAGGGCAATCAAATCCTATAAATCCAGGACTGTTACGGCAGAATGGTAACCAATTGTTATTAGACTCTATGGGCAACAGGAAAGAAATTTTTCCTGCTTATTTGAAACAAGATCAGGAAGATTCGGGTGGGCCCCTGTTGGAACCAGGAGGAGCTAGGGAGTGGGGATGCTAAGGTGGGTTGTTTTCTGCCCTTGAAGCCACTGTAGGCTGGAAATACAACAATGGAGGGTTGCAAATGTATCTAGGCCATTCTGAGGAACAATGGGCTTTTGTTTCTTGCACCTACATTTTGTTTCTGCAGTAGAGTGACAGGGGGTCAAAACAGTAGCCAGCATTTACTGCATCCTTACTGTGCCTGCCTTGTGCTTTATACTGACTATCTCATTTAACCTCACAACAATCCTATGAGGGACGTTGATTTACTTTCCTCCTTTTATAGATGAGGAAATTGAGGTCGAAAGAGAGGTTAAGCTACTTGCCTAAGGTCACAGAGCTGAGATCTGAACCCAGCTAGTTGACTCCCAGGGCCTGCCCTCTCTCCACCTGACTGCCCTCCTGAGGCCCTGACAGCCGAGGGCTGCAGGACTGGGCAGCCTTGGAGGAAGCACCTTGGCCCACAGAGTGGACACGGAGCGAACCTGAGCCTTGGCTGTTCTGCAGCCTCCATTCCTTGGCCGGCATTTCCCCAGGCCCTCTGTTTAGCCACAAGATGGACACATGCAGGGAGATGACCGAGAAGGGAGCGGAGGAGACATCGTGGACCCGGGCCTGGGCCTGTGCGCACTGCAGAGAAGGCAGCCAAGGACAGTGGTGAAGAGCACAGGCTTCAGTCGGTGCTCTTAACTGACCCACTTCTGACCCACTTCCTAGCTGGTGACTTAGACATTATTTCACCTCTCTGAGCCTCATTTTGCTGATTTAAAAAGTGGGGATAATACGAGTATGTATCAAAGGGGGTTAAAAAATTAAGGAGGGGCCGGCCCGGTGGTGCAGCGGTTAAGTTCGTATGTTCTGTTTCGGCAGCCCAGGGTTTTCTGGTTTGGATCCTGGGTGCAGACATGGCACTGCTTGGAAAGCCATGCTGTGGTAGGCGTCCCACATATAAAGTAGAGGAAGAGGGGCACAGATGTTAGCTCATGGCCAGTCTTCCTCAACAAAAAAGAGAAGGATTGGCAGCAGATGTTAGCTCAGGGCTAATCTTCCTCAAGAGAAAAAAAATTAAGGAATGTATAATGCTTAGCACAGTGCATGCCACTCTTCAGGCAGTCGATAAATGGTATGTAAAAACAATACCACCACTCGTGATGAAATTCATTTTTAGCTAAATGCCTTGTGTTACTCACACCTAATTACAGAGACTTAAGAACAGTGGTTGTTGGGTATGGAGAACAGAGTCTCCCAGGATGAAGCTGTCATACCTCTGCCTCTTTCCAGTGTGTAGGTCCAGGTCACTCCTCTACTTCCCCCCGGAAGATGGCCAGGCTGGGCTCTGGCCCTTCCAGCTGCCTTCAATCCTCCCTGCCAGACTTTCCCACACAAGCAGCTCTGTACGTACGTACATTTAGCCAAGGAGAACTTCTTGAGCAGCTGGGGCATGGCGTCTCGAGGGTGGACCTCCACAGTCAGCTGTGTCCCTGCAAAGGAATATGAGGTGATGCTCTCAGCCAGATGCTGCCAGGAAAGGGTGCAACATCTCATGACAGATGTTTGAACAACAAAATTCAATTGGTTTTAGAACTGTCTTTTGAATATGCAAGTAATTCTTATTTAAAAATACACAAAACCAAAAAATAAGCAGAGAGTTTCAAGATCCAGGCAAGATGGAGTAAACATATTCCACCTTGTCTCTCCCACGGAATGCAACTGTAGACCTGGGGAAGAATGCATAGGGCAATGAATTGAGGACTCGGCAAAGTAAACGATAGAAGGGAAATTGGGGAAGATTAGAATTGAAAGCATCACCAAACTGGAAGGGAGTCTACCTTCCTCTCCCCCTAGGGGGTTACCTAGACTGGACTCAAAGGCAGCCCCAAACGCAGAAGTGCACACTGGGGTGCAGAGAAAAAATGCTCCAAGAGAAGCCCTTCCTTCTGGCCTTTGGAGGGACAAAAGGGAAGCTTTAAGAGTCAGAGAGAGTGGGAGAAATCCCCTGTTGTTTTTTTCTGTGTGACTCAGCCCCCAGGAAATCCTGTTGGTGGCAGTGCAGCAGTGCTTTTGGTGCCAGGCAGGCACCTAAGTCTGTGAGGGAGTGTACCAGAGAAGCTATGATTCCCAAGAGTGTGGGGCAAACACTCATTGTTTTTTTTCTCTCTTTGTTCTCCACTGATTGACTCCAGATTCAGACACAGTAGTGAGAAGTGTCTGGCAGAGTAGGGAAACTAAAGCCCCAGCTTTAGGGCTGGAGGAACAGAAAGTGGGTTATAACAAGGAGGGAGCTCAAGAAAGCAATTCCATAAAGTTACAGATGAACTCCTGTGGTCACCTCTGCATGGATGGATAGCATCTACGTTGTGCATGCATGATCTTATAGTAAACATCATATCGCAGTCTTTGAGAACTACACGATGGGGTAGACTAATTCCCAGACTGCTCACTGGTTGTGTGTGAGCAGGGTAGATCTGGATAGCATTGCAAAGGCCACAATCCATAATTACTCAGCATAGGAAGACCCAGGAAAATCTCAACTTGAAAAGGAAAAGATAATCAATGGATACTAACCCCAGGAGACACAGATTTTGGAATTATCAGACAAAGCCTTTAAAACAGCTATAATGATCATGCTCTAACAAGTCAGAGCAAATAGCCTAGAAATCAATGGAAAGATAAATATTAGCAAAAATTAGAAAATATAAAGAAGTAACAAGTGGAAATTTTAGAACTGAAAAATACAGCAGTTAAAAAATTCTCTGGATATACTCAATAGCAAAATAGAGGTGACAAAGGAAAAAGTCAGTGAACTTGAAGAGAGAACAATAGAAATTATCTAATATGAACAACAGAGAGAAGGAGTGAAAGGAGTCTCAGGGAGCTGTGGCACAGTACCTAAAGAGCTAACATTCACGTCACTGAGATTCCAGAAGGACAGGAGAAAATAGTATGATGCAGAAAAAGTATTTGAAGAAATAACGACAGAAGAGTCAATGAAACCAAAAGCTGGTTCTTTGAAAAGATCAGCAAAATTGATAAGCCTCTGACCAGAGTGACCAGGACAAAAAGAGGTAAGGCACAAATCAGGAATCAAGACACCAATATCAGGAATGAAATGGGTATATCACTACAGACCAGACCCCATATATATTGAAGGAATAATACAAACAACTCTATGCACATAAGTTCTGCAGCTTAAATGAAGTGAATAAATTCCTCGAAAGCTACAAACTACCAAAATTCACCCCAAAAGTAGATAACCTGCATATTCCTATATCTATTTTTAAAACTAAATTTGTAGTTCAAAATCTTCCAAAAACAAATAAACAACAAACAAACAAATAAACGCCAGGCCCAGATGGTTTAACTGGCAAATCCTAATAAACATTCAAAAAGAAATTGCAGTAATTTTTCACAAGATTCTTTAGGAAACAAAAGAGTAGTGAATAGTTCATGCCCTTGTTATGAGGCCAGCATTAATCTAATACCAAAATCAGAGAAAGACAGTATAAGAAAAAAATCACTACAGACCAATATTCCTTATGAACATAAACACAAAAATCCTCAACAAAATATTAGAAAACTAAATCCAGCAATATAGTAAAAGAATAACACACCACAACCAAGTATGGTTTATTTTGAGAAGGCAAGGCTGGTTCCACATTTGAAAATCAATGAATGTAATTCACAATATTAGCAGCCTAAAGAAGAAAATCCACATGATCATATCAATTGATGCAGAAAAAGCATTTGACAAAATTTAACATCTATTCATGACAAAACCTCTCAAGAAACTAGAAATAGAAGGGAACGTCCTTAATCTGAAAAGAAGCATCTACCAAAAACCTGCATCTTAACAGCATATTTAATGGTGAAAAGTGGAATGCTTTCCCCCTGGGATTGGGAACAAGTCGTGGATGGCCACTCTCACTGTTCCTCATAAACATTGTACTTGAAGTCCAACCTAGTGCCATCAGTTAAGAGAAAGAAAGAAAGGTCATAAAGATTATAAAAGAAGAAATAAAACTCTCCTGTTCACAGATGACATGTCTGTCTACATAGAAAATCCCAAGTAATCTACAAAAGAAGTTCCTAGAACTAATAAGCAAATTTAGCACGGTCACAGGACACAAGGTCAGAACCCCAAAATCAATTATATTTATATTGCTAATAAATGGCTAGAAATTAAATTTAAAAAATACTATTTTCCATAGCTCCAAAAAATGAAATACTTAAGTATAAATCTAAAAATAAATTGTAAGAACTGTATGCTGAAAACTAAAAAATATGATCAAACAAATTAAAGCAGACTTAATAAGTGGGGAGACATACCATGTTCATGAATTAGAAAGCTCAATATTGTCAAGTTGGCAATTCTCTCTAAATTGATCTATAGGTTTAATGCAATTTCAATCAAACTCCTTGGAGGAATTTTGTAGATTGTAGATATAGGCAAGATGATTCTAAAATTTAGATAGAAAGATACAGGAACTACAATAGCCAAAGCAATTTTTTAAAAAAGATGGAGGACTCCAACTATCTGATTTTAAGATATATTATAAAGCTACAGTAATCAAAACAATGTGATATTTACAAAGGGATAGATAAATAGATCAATGGAGCATAATAAAGAGTTACAAAATAGACCCACATAATTACGGCAAATTGATTTTTTACAAAAGTGCAAAGACAATCTAATTAGAAAATGAGTAAAAGAACAGATATTTCACCAAAGAAGAGATTCCAGATGGCAAATAAACACATGAAAAGATGTTCAACATAATTAGCCGTTAGGAAAACGCAAATTAAAACCACAATGAGATATCACATCTATTAGAAGAATAATAATAAAAAAGTGATATAATATGCTGACAAGGTTGTGGAGAAATTGGCTCTCTCATACATTGCTGGTGGGATTGTGAACTGGTTCAGCCATTCTGAAAAACAGTTTGACCATTTCTTATAAAACAAAACATACACTTAACATAAAACCCAACAATTATACTCTTGGGTTTTTACCCCAGAGAAATGGAAGCTTATGTTCACACAAAAACCTATACACAAATGCTTATAGAAACTCTATTCACAATCACCCAAACTGGAAACAACCTAAATGTCCTTCAATGGGTGAGTGGATAAATACCCTGTGTACATCCATATCAAGGAATATTTCTTAACAATGTAAAGAAACTCTCAGGAGTGCTGGGAGGATGTGACTACAGAGTCCACACAGAGAACTTTTGGGGTGACAGAACTGTCTGTATTCTGATTGTGGTGGTGATTACATGCATGGGTTAAAACTCAAGAATGCACACCAGAAAATTCTATTTTACTGTATGTTAATTTAAAATAAAATTTAAATTAAAAAAAACCCAAGTGAACAAAAAAGCCCAAGCAGAATTAAAGCAAAACAAAAACTTGAATTATACAGAAAGATACAAAATAAAAAGTGAACATCCTCTTTGTAACTTCCTTCTTCACTAACATCTTTACACTTCAGTGAATGTAGTCACATGTCGTCATCATTTTAAATGGCTGCGTAGTATTCCATTCTATAGACGTTTTTATAATCCACATAAGCAATCTCTTTCTGTTGGATATTTAACTTTTCCCAAATGTTTTGCTATTATAAACAGTGATGCAATGAACATTCTGATACGCATCTCTTTACAGACTTTTCAAATTAGTTCCTTTGAATTAATTCTTAAATGTGGATCAAACGGTATAGAGATTTTTAAGGCTTTTGTTAGATACTGGCAAGTTATTTTCATGAATGATTTTATCAGTTTATGATCACATCAACAGTGCAAGAGAAGGCCCATTTTGCTCATTCTTGCTGTGTTTGACTGCAAAATTGGCCACAATACTTTGTGCTTCCTCCCAATGAGAGGTCTTTTGTTCCTTCCCTTGAATTTGGGCTGGCCTTGTTATTTGGTTTGGCCAATTAGCATGTGGCAGAAGTGGTGTTGTGCAAACTCTGAGCTTAGGCCTCAAGAGACTTTGCAGCTTTTCCTCCCATTCTTGGGATTCCAACCACAACTGCCATGTGAATGGACCCAGGCTAGCCTGCTGCAGGATGAGAGACCACGTGGAACAGAGTAGAGCCATCTCAGGTGAGGCCATCCTAGACAAGCTGGTCTCCAGCCAAACCACCAGTTGACCACGAACACATGAGCAAGTCCAGCCAAGACCCGAGATCAGCTGGGTGTGGCTCACACAAGAAGGCCCAGCCAACTTGTAGACTTGTGAGCTGGTAAATGCTTATTATTTTAAGCCACTGAGTTTGGGGATGGTTTTAATGTAAAAATAGGTCACCCATACACCCACTGACATTTAATTCTTATCAATCCTTGAAATTTTTATCAATGAATAATTATATCTCGTTGTTTTTGTGTATTTCTTTAATTTTTAGTATAGTATTTTTTCATAGATTTATTTGCAATATAAAATTCTTTCTTTGTGAATTGACTATTTTCCTATTGATGTA